TCGAGTGTCTGGGTTCAGCAACACCCCACCCATCCCTACTGTGCCACACCTATGCATGAGACTGTTGGGGTCAGGTCTGCTGCACTAACATACTGAGGGACTTGTACGAAGGTAGTCCTAGTCCCCACAGCAGAAGCATGTGGAAATATTAATATTTCTGCAGTCCCAGGACCACACACATCTGGTAGAGAGAAGATTCAGAACGCAATTCCAGAAACAACAGTAAAACTTGAGCAACTAGATGGAGGTCATGGTTGTTAACAAGATCAAGCAGCTACAAAACAGAGTAAATCCAAAAACATGTGTGCTGTTTCTCAGTATGGAGTGGAAGGCATGCTAAGTTCACATGGTTTGACATTTCAAACCATAGACTCTTAGGTTATGCAGCAATATGAAAGAAATGCATAATTTCTCTTCTGTAAATGATCCATTTTAGTTGTGGAGGCTATTGCTGGTTTTATTATGTACCAATTGCAATCCTTAGAAAAGGACAATTTAATAAAACAACACATTTACATTTGTATAGCATGTTTCAAATCAGAAGGATGTCCCAAGATGCTGGACAATCCTGGATTGCCACCCTAACTGGGGGTGGAAGGTGGAGGCTGGGAGGAGAGAGAAAGATGACTGAAAGCGCAATCAAGGAGGAAGATCTTGAGACGGATCTTGAAAGGGGCGACGCAACTCCAGGATGGAGTTCCAAAGAATGCGGCAGATGGGCTGAAAGACTGACTGTCCATGGTGGGGCTGGAGATATAGAGCAGGCCACTGCCTGCTGAACAGAGGGAGTGTTTGAGTTGTTACGGTTTGAGAAGGTTGCAAGAGATAGGACAGCGCAAGGCCATGGAGGGATTTAAAGTTGAGGATGAGGATCTTGAACTCAATCCATTGGAGGATGGTGGGCCAATGTAGCTCCTGGGAGAAGTTCTGGCTAGCCCCAGATTGTGCAGGCAAGAGTTGGGTAGTCTGTTGAGTAGAGCATTGAAACAACTGAAGAGCCACAAGCAAAAATGATCAGGGGAGAGAAGCAGACAACAACGACAACGATGACTTTTATTTATGCATTTATTTAGCATTCTTCACACAGGATATTGTCTCAGACGTTGAATAATGTCTTGGAACATCAAAGCAGTGAATGAATTCTCAATGTCTTATTTGTTCAAGAATGAGATTCTGCAGGAACTTTAATGCTGAATACCATAATTAAAATTGAAACCGTTTACTTAAACAGTTTTTAAGGGACTTTGGGTTCTATTATGTAAACCATGTGTAAATGCAGTTGTATTATGCAACATGCATAAATAATACATTTAACAATCTAAGAAAAGGATCTGTTATTAATTATGTAATTAATAAATCAATTTCATTGCTGTTGTGAGAAGTGAAAGGCAAGTCTTCATTCCCTTCAAGCTTGAATGATTGGGCTAGTCTTAGTATCATGATAGAAGCCAGTGCTACGGTATTGGCAAATAACATTGCACAGGGGTCTAAGCCACAGCCATTTCAACCTGGATTACTGTATGATATAACAGTAATCATACTTGCATTTCATATAATGCCTATGATGTCAAAATGTATCAAAGTGCTTCAAAGATTATTATTATCAAGTGTAGTGGCTGTGTTGTTGTAGGTAAGCTTCCTATATTCAGGAATCTGAAGGGGTTCATCTTCCGGTCACTGGAGGATACGTCACATTAACTTGTGGAACCTCCATTCTGAAAGCAGATTGTGTCTGAAGAAATTCCTGCCACTCAGGTTGAAGTGTTCCTAGATTCCTTATATAAGAAATTTTATATAAGCAATCTTGTTTGAAATTGCTACATTTGTACAAAACTGTTCACAATTACAGTCTTGATGTGCAGATATTTGATTTTTACAAGTGAGTCTGAGTGAAATAATCCATTTGTGAAGTTTGACTGCCCATGTGGTTTGAGCCCTGAAATTTACAGGCAGTCCATCAAAGGCAAGATTTAAAAGTTTTGGTTGCTGTGGAGNAAAAAACAGAATATATCAATATCGTGGAGTCCTGTAGCTCAGTGGTTAGAGCACTCGCTTTGCAAGCAAGAGACCTGAGTTCAATTCCAGGCAGGTCAGGGCGAAACCTTGGGCAAGTTTCCTTACTCCACACGCCTAATAATAATCCCTCCAAAACCCAAAACAATAATAAATTGGTCATTTTCAATCTACGACTGTTTGTGGGACATTGCTGTGCGCAATTGGCTGCCGCGTTCGCCCACAAATATACAGTCAATTCACGTTACAGTGTGTTCTGTGAAGCGCTTTGGGACATCCTCCCGATGTGTAAAGCGCTATATCAAATGCAAGGATTATTATTATTATTTTTAATAATCGTTGCATTTGATACAGTGCCTTTAACATTGGGAGGATGTCTCAAGGTGCTTCACAGAATATACTGCAAAGCATTGTGACTGTATTTTCTAGGTGAATGGAACAGCCAATTTGGGCACGACATTGTCCTACAAACAGCTTTGAAGCACTCCCCCAGGACTTCATTGGAGAAACAGCCTAGACATGTGAGTTCAAAGTCCTAACATTGGACTTGAACCCACAACCTCTGGTTCAGAGGCAAGGTTGCTACCAATTGAGCTCGGCTGGCACGCTTTAATCAGGTGGAAATAGTGCGCTGACAGGGTGAAAAATGTGATATGCGACTTGATAATTATCACATGTACTGCATTTTCTAACCTGATTTTTCCACAACAAGTGTTGCATTTCAATTTGCATCATTACTTCAATTTGCATTACTATTCATTAGTTGTTTGAAGCTTTTTGTTGCACTCCTCCCAATGTTTTTGTAAGCATTGGATAACCCATTGTAAGCACTCAACAACAACTTTGTAAAACAGTTTGTGAGCAGCACATGTTTGGTAAACACAGGAAAAAGGTTTGCCAAACAATGATTTTTGTTATAACAAGAGTAGGGGTTAATCTTCACTTCTAAAACACATTACCAACCTTAGCAACATGTGCATGTAGTTTAATTTTCCATTTGCTTGCCGACAAAGTTGTTAGATTTGCTAACCAGTGCAAAATTCTGAAAACAGAAAGCAGTTGATAATTCTGTAATGCTTTGATTGATTAGTTGACAAATTTGTACAAAAGAAGAAATGGTCTTTCATTGTCTATGTTTTGTTATTCCTGATTTACATTATCTTCCCATTGACGGAGTATAGTTTATAGCGATATTGAAAAGGACTCAATGTTACTCCTCAATGTTCTCTGCCAGTCTCTGTATCATTTTGCCGATAAGAGCAACAATCTTACCACAAAAACATTTCCTGAGCAATGAGATCAATAAAGATAAAACACCAGTTTCAATTTCTCAGCAAAAAAAATTCTCATGTGCAGATCACACGCACCCATTCTGAAGCTTTAATTGATAAGTATCTGTGCGGCTGAATATTGACTCCTGACTCATTTCTTGTGTTACAGCCTCGGCTGTGTTACAGAACTTTGGGACACTGTAGAATGCGTTTTATTGTCAATGCAGAGTGCTTGGCTTCTCTGCATTGCACATTAATGGAGTAGGATGTACTTATTTTTTTTAAAATCTGATTTCATTTCATCCGTGTAATTATTAAACACAAATTCAAAGATGAGGCGATTGTGACATTAGTTTTGCAGCGTTGAAGATCTGTTAAGGCAGGATTATTTCCATAGTAACATTGAATGGTCCATTATAAGATGTCACCAGGGAAAATGACGAGCACAGTTTGGCACATGTCTGGCAGATGATTCGCGAGAAAACTGAGTAAGGAGTGACAGGATGTATGTTTAAACACATGATTCCTCAAACTTTGAGTTCATGACCTCAAGATATCCGTGGAGCAGGCTCTAATGCTCTGATGGAGGCAAACATTCCATTACTGGTACATTACACCGGTGCATTAATGTATAGTCTAATAACACAATCTCCGCTGTGTCTCTCATCCTTGAATGAGGCTTTAAACCAAGGTCCCATCTGCCTGTTTAGGTGGATGTTAAAGATCCCACAGCACTACTTGAAAAGAGAAAGGAATTTCTCTCAGTGACCTGGCCAGCCATTCTTCAAATATATTTGGTCATTCACCACATGGCTGTTTGTGGGACATTTGTTTCGCCCTCAAAATTCACAGTCAATCCATTTTACAGTATATCCTGTGAAGTGCTTTCAGGTGTCTCAATGACGTGATAAGGTGCTATATCAAAGCAAGAATTATTATTATTATTGTTATGTGATGTTATGTTATGAAAAGAACTACCGGGTTGGTCTACACATATAGAGGCACTACACTTTAGAGCAGACTTAATAAGGCGTTATATCAAATGCAAGGATTATTATTATTCCTTAAACACTTTGTGACATTATAGCCACTATATTAAGTTATAAATTGTATTATTATATCAGGAAGTGACTTGCTGCAGAATGTAAAATGTACAGAAACAGAGCAATTACATACAGCACTTGCAGAATGCCTTAAACATTCTTTTAAACCAGTTTTTAACATTTGCTGCAGTACTGTACTGAATTGCTTTGGTTCGTGATCAATGGACACAAATCTCATTCGAATCAGCATATGTATATTTGAGTAAAGTGATATCCCTAAAAATACACTAAACAATGCATAATATATTGTTCAACTCTTTTGAAACATTCCTTTTGGCATTGTTCTTTCACTGTAAGTGTTGCAAAACGTTTCTGTGGGCGAAATGCCGATCGTCTGCCTGCAGTGTGACTGTATCATTGAGTATTATGTGTAGACAGGAAAATACATGGGTGACATTCACTAAATGCCAGCTAGAATTGAGGAAGGATACACATCTGCTGTCGAGTGGTGTCCAACAGTTGTTAGTTCTTTCGATAAGATATGCAAATATCAGTGACATCGTGGCACTGCGTCATATGTTTGTGGTAACAAATGTGCTGGTGTCACCAAACTCTAGCTTTTGCAAAAAGAACAGAAGCAAAGAGCAAAACAGCGACAGGTTTCCTAAGACCCTGTGCAGTAACATCTTAATATAGTGTCTTTCCCATTGACCTGTGGCATCTGTGGTTTAGGAGCCGGAGGCTTGAGGTACTGTGCAGTTGATGTTTAGGTTTAGCTGGTCGCTTATTATCTGCTAGTATGTATTTTGCTTCGAACAGACAGGCTCTAATTGCAGCTTTAAATTTAACCCCACTTAAGAGTGGTCAATTTCAATCTTTGCTAACAAAACAAATCCTCTGTCATGTGCTAAACATACGCTACTGTGCTATGAAGAATTTCACTTTCTAACGTTGAATTATGGTGGGGGAGAGGGAGTGGTAATGATGCATACCATCTTTTCAGTTTTTCTGGCATATACCCTTTACTCCTCTGACTGTGGTGCTCGCTCCCTACCCTCTCACTCCAACATTGGTGGCTGTCTTCAGCGAGCGCACTTTGGAATTCTCTGTCAAAATACCTTTGCCTTTCTACCTCTCTTGTTGCTTTGAAAATTTTCCTCAAAGTGATCTCTGACCATGAGGTTGGTTAACATCTTTAAATCTTTCATTTCCCTTCTACTTTTGTCAAGTGCTTAGCGATGCCCCTGTAAGTGAATGGTGTTGCATAAATGCTTGTTGTTGCATTCACTTATGATATTACTTGAAGCTTTGCAGTGTATCTTTGTGGCATTAAACTGTGCTGAAGTGGAAATATTTTCAATGTTACGTGCTCCACTTTCTACCTCTGTGAAACAGAACAATATTTAATTCCAAATAAATGTCAATGGCTTGAGAAGTGGGAAGGATGAATATCACTCATTAAGGGAAATAACAAACGATTGGAGATGGAGATATTGTATTATAATAAACCTTGCATTTGTTAAGGCACCTTATCATTTCATCAATGCATCTCAAAGAGCTTTTGCTGTCAATGTGTAGTGACTGTGTATTTGTAAGCAAATGCAGCACCTAATTTGTGCACAGTAATGTCCCAAAATAGCCATGAAGTGAATGACCATTTTTTGTCTGACTTGACAATGCTAATAATAATAATCCTTGAATTTGATACAGCACCTTATCATGTCGCGGAGATGTCTCAAAGCATTTTACAGTGTATACTGTATACTGATATGACTGTGTATTTTGTGGCAGAAAGCAGCCATTGATTTGCGCATGGCATTGTCCCACAAATAGCCAAGGAGCGAAGTGAGTGACCAATTTAATTTGATGGATTGTTGATTTGAACATCAGAAGAAACTCCCTTGAAATAACCTTGAAACTCCTTTGGTACTTGTGAATGAAACCTGGCTCATCTCAAGCCAGACATACGAGACATACCGGAACAAATTATTTTTTAGTCTTTTTCTTAAAAATTGGTCTCTCAATCCATGACTGTTTGTGGGACGCTGCTGTGCACAATTGGCTTCCCTGTTTCGCTCACAAAATACACAGTCAATTCACTTTACAGTATATCCTGGGAAACGCTTTGAGATGTCTCGACAACTGTGAAAAGGCGCTATATCAAATACAAGGATTATTATTATTATAGTTTAGTGATGTATTTGTTTGATATTTATCACATCAAATGCCTATGGACATTCCAGAGGCCAACCACCCACAGATCAACTTTGTTCTCAATCGGTAAAATTTTGCCATTGGACATTAGATTTCTGCCATTTGATTGTCAGTTAGCTACTCTGAGCATTTAATTTTGCAAAAAAAACTATCCGCTAATCAGCAGTTGAAGTCCATGATCCAAACTGGAACTCCAATGCAACAGGCCTGGCTTCTCAGACACCATCATATGGAACAAAATCAAGGCGGAATGTCGGTCTATCTCTATCATATTTAATATGGTATATAAGTAAACCCAGAACATTATTTCCGAACGCATCAAGACTGTAGAAGAAGAGACCATAAGTTTAGAGTTGCAAAGGGCAATTTCAGGACCGACCCAGAAAGAAGCTTGATATTGTGGTGGGAAGATTGTATTCTGGAAGAAAGAAATCTAGTGGACCAAAGAACCTTCTTCACCTGCTGTTATACTGTAGTGATCTCATTGTGAGGTTTCTCTTTAAACGTTTCTGTGTGTTAGAAACTACTTGACATTCTCAAAACAACAACAACTACTTGCATTTATACACTGCTGATCACGCGGGTATCATGTAGGAGAGCTTGACATTCCTAATGCTGCAGATTTAAAATAGTCAAAAATTGGTTACTCCAATTCAAACACATTTTGCCTAGCTGTTGGGTTAAAGGGTAAATTCTGTATGCCGCAGTATCAATACATCTTATACTGTCAGTAAAAATATAGTAGATACAAACTTGATCTGATAAGGTTGCACCTGCGGTAAGCAAAATATCACCCTTGCTCCAAAAATAAATTAAAAATGCGATAAAGATCATCAGGGTGGGACATTAAAAAGGTACCACAGCAAAATGCGCTTTGATCAAAGTAGATAAAATATACTATATTTTCGTTAAAGGTTTTTAGAATCCTTTTATTAAGTGAAAATCAGTAACCTGAAGTTAAAAATATAAAGCAAACTGAGGAGAAAATCAGTATTCGGTTTCTGAGGGAGGATGAAAGCTTTGCATTTGGCAGTTGTATACTCTTCAATAGATTGCATGCGTTTCATTTCCTTTTAATATTTAGTGACGTGTCGCACTCCTCAAAGTGCCAGTTTGAGGAAATAGAACGTTGCTTCACTTTTAGCGCTGTGTCAGCAGTACATCTCCCATAATAGGTATAGTTTGACTAACAACAACAGCAACTTGACATGAACATTAATGGCCTTCATGTAGAATAACGTCTCAGAGAGCTTTATAATGGTGGAGCACGTTAGTAATTAAATGGATATGGTGAGTAGAGAAATGGGGAAGAAGGGGATCAGAGAGATAAAGAGGTGATAGACCATGAAGTGATTTGTAAGTCAGGGCAAGGACCTTGAATTTGATCCGCTGAGAGATAGGGAGCCAGTTCAATTCAAATTCATAATACAGGTAATGAAGGAACTGCTGTCTCACCATTTCCCGCTGTGAGGTCTAGTATAGGTTGATCCCTAAAAATGATCTTTTCTGTGAAATATTTAGAAAATAAAAACATTATGAAGATTCAGTGAAAATTTCTATTTTTAGTAATCAGAATGCATTAAATCTCTATATGTTAAAAAGTAAATAAAAGCTGCCTAGGATACAGTGAATCTTTATCAGAGTTGTCTCATTGTGCTCTCTATGATGGATCAAGATTCCCTATGTTGGAACCCTTTTGTTATACTACAGGTTGGACAGTATGAAACACATTACACCCGCAAAACATAATTAATTCACTTTACAGTATATTCTGTGAAGTGCTTTGAGACGTCTAGAAGACGTATTAAGGTTCTAAAGGTCCTAAACCAAATGAAAGGATTATTATTATACTGATAAACGTAAATAGGTTTAACCATAGCAGTGGTGAACTGGATCCCTCTGAAGCTGTGTGCATGGAGTGGCGATCTAGATTCTGGAGAGGGCTGGAGTACTTCATGTGCATGTTCCTGTTTGGATCATTGCTTTCGATTTCATTCATAATATTAAATGACTGTACTTCCTTAACTGTACCAGGAACAATGTGGCTTAATGTTTAGTGATGATTTTACTCACTGGTTGAGTGGTGGAAGGTCAGAAAGAATGTTAGAAGGAAGTTGAATTATTTAGTATATTGACTAAGGTGACTCAACAACAACAAGATTACATTTGTATAGCTAGGGAAATTGTTCAACATGGTTCAAGTTGTTCATCAAGTATTGGGATATTAGAGTAAGAAAGTGGCGCTGAGTGTTTTTTATAACAAAGGATGATCAAACTTGTGGACTAATTGTCAGGAAAGTCCATTAAAGCAGAATAAATGGGTCAAGACACCAGAAGATTAATTTCTGAAATGAGGGGATTGAGGATGATGGTATGAAGGCAGGAAAAGTGGGTTGAGATCAAACAATAAAGAATGGCTAATTCTTTTAGCTATTAGCACCTAATGTGCTAATGACCTTTCTTCCTGAACAATTATTTTCTTCTGAACAGGGCTGATTTCATGATTATACCAAGGATTTACTGTCCTCTTGTTGATAAATTTACTGACCTTGGTGGCAAGCGAGTATTATATTTGCGATTATTTGTAAAATCACTGTTATTTGACAATGTTATAAAGTTATATTAGTTATAAAGTTGAGCAATTCACAATATGATTCATGTAGATGCATTGTAAATATACAGTAATTGGATACAGTGATTGGATTTTGCTTGATTATAATTATAATTTCTTTTCTTTTTGAAATATGTTTTGATGCAGGTAATTGAGGTGAAGGATGTTACTATTAGGAATCAGAATTCTTTCCTATTGTGCACTCTCGGTGAGCACTTCCAGCTTAGTATAGAAAGCACAGTGAGAACCAGACTAAAGCTCACGCTTTGTTGAGTTACAGCTATCTGTACAGTGTGTGTGTGTATATATAATACATAAAATCCTAATAATAATCCTTGCATTTGATATAGTGCTTTTCACATCTTCTAGATTCTCAAAGCACTTCACAGAATATACTGTAAAGTGAATTGACTGTATAGTTGTGGGCGAAATGTGGCAGCCAAATTGCGCACAGCAGTGTTCCACAAACAATCATGGATTGAAGTGAAAAATGTATTGTTTTTTTTCTTGAGGGATTATTATTAGGTGTGTGGAGTAAGGAAACTTGCCCAAGGTTTCACATTGCCGGGAATTGAACCCAGGTCTCTCGCTTGAGAGGTGAGTGCTCTAACCACTGAGCTACAGGACTCCATACACATACACTATATTATTATGGCAAAGACTTCAGGTTTCCTTGCTATTCCGGTGCTGGTGATTCTCATGATTTTAAGATTATTGATATGATTATGACTTTGTTGTATTTGTGAATCAGGCTCAGTACCTTAATCTATGAATGGCTCCTGATTGCCTACGGTGCTCCCATTACTTTTGGAAAAGCAATTAACCTACATTAATGTTTTGCTGCAAAAGACTGCCCAACACCACTATCCACATCCCTTTATACCAGCTATCGTCCTGTAATGTAATTTTGACTCCCTTTGCATCATAAAGTAAACAACTTAGATTTCATTTTGATCATTTTAAATTCAGTCAAAACTCTATTTTTTAAAAATAAAATGCTTCACCTTTGAATTTGAATTTCCTGACTGTTTCCTGGTAATGTTAAAATTGTGAGAATTACTCAGAGGCCATATGGGCCTTTTTTTGCAAAGCAAACTGCATTGCAATTGTGGTTTTCAGCCACAAGGAAACATTTATTAAACACTGATACTGATTTGAAAGGGGTATACTTTGCATTACATAATCAGTAAATTGAATGTATTGGGATATGGGTTGGTTGGCTGAGATTATATTGATGTGGACTGAAATAAACCAAAGCACTACTTCAAGATTACCTGCTCGTCCCTAGTAAAATCGTGGAATAGCAAGAAACCTGAAGTCTTTGTCACAAAAACGTAGAGCGTATGTGTGTGGTACTCAAGATTGAAGAAGAAAAAGAATGAGCTGACTGGTGCCATCTGCTCCTATTCAGTAACTGTAGATATATGTAATAGGTAAAGCTACCAATTTGCTTAGTACTGAAGTGAGTGAATGGAACTAATAGTAAAGCTTCAGAGCTGCTGTTGCGTGATTGACAGTAGTGATAGATTGTGTTTCTTTTACAAGATCCGTGCTGTATTATCAACAACTACCACAACAACAACAACAACTTCGATTTATATAGCGCCAGAGCGCTTCACAGTAACGGATCCCAGGGCTGAGCCGGGGGAGGAAAGTGACCAAAGGCGCGGTCGAAAAGAAAGGTCTTCAGCAGAGACCTGAACGTAAGAAGAGAAGGGGCGAGGTGAAGGGAGTGAGGAAGGGAGTTCCAGAGCCTCGGGGTATAGTGGCTGAAGGCACGGCTGCCAAGGGTGGAGCAGAGGACTCAGGGGACAAGGAGGAGGCCAGACCTGGAGGAACGAAGGCAACGGGCACTGTTTTGAGGAGAGAAGGTGTCCTCTACCTGAGGAATTGATTTCTTAGATGCAAGAAGCGTAATAATACTGCACAGATCAACTTTCAAACAGATCCAATATAAAATGGATGCAGTGTGTGAGCCAGTTCCAATCTCCGTTTTGTTAGGTTTGTCTTTCTCACTTATTACCAAAGCAATAAATGACACCTCATCGAGCATGACTCCACAGCAGAATGATGTTACCTTTTGCTGCAGTTGTACCAAAATAGAGCATCCCATTAGGAATAGTAAAAGCTCCCAGATGAACTTAAAGACATCATAATAAACATTTCCATGTATTTTGTTAAAATGTTAAATTAAGTGTTAGGAGTTAAGCAACGCTACAATTAAGCTTTCAGTGTGCCTAGTTTCTTGTATGATAGCATGACAGCATTGCAGGTGACACTATTGGACTGTTTAACAACAACAAGATTACATTTGTGTAGCACTTTTCATGTCAGGAGGATGTCCCAAGGCACTGGACAGTGTACATAGTGGAGTCCTGTAGCTCAGTGGTTAGAGCACTCGCTTTGCAAGCGAGAGACCTGAGTTCAATTCCAGTCAGGGCGAAACCTTGGGCAAGTTTCCTTACTCCACACGCCTAATAATAATCCCTCCAAAACCAAAAACAATAATAAATTGGTCATTTTCAATCGACGACTGTTTGTGGGACATTGCTGTGCGCAATTGGCTGCCGCGTTCGCCCACAAATATACAGTCAATTCACAGTGTGTTCTGTGAAGCGCTTTGGGACGTCCTCCCGACGTGAAAAGCGCTATATCAAATGCAAGGATTATTATTATTATTCAGACTCGAGCTGGGGTCAGGGAGGGAGAAGGGAGGGGAAGAGGGTGACCGATGGCATGGTCGAAGAGGAGGGTCTTGAGGTGTGACTTAAAGGAGGCTAAGGAGGGGGGGTGAAGCAGAGTGATTGGGGAATGGAATTCCAGAGGTTTAGTGCTGCTGCTTGTGAAATGTGGACAACCTTAAGAACATCAATTAAATGAATGTATCCCTTGAGGCCATATGGGCCTTTTTTGCAAAGCAAACTGCATTGTAATTGTGGTTTTCAGCCTCAAGGAAACATTTATTAAACACTAATACTGATGTGAAAGGGGTATACTTTGCATTACATAATCAGTAAATTGAATGTATTGGGATATGGGTTGATTGGCTGAGATTATATTGATGTGGATTGAAATAAACCAAAGCACTACTTCAAGATTATCCACTCATCCCTTGTAAATGTGCCATTTGCCCCTCATCACAAGTAATGGACAAGCCCACATTGCTCTTTTATGTGGATGATCTGAAACATCACTCTCCATTATACTAACTTGTGTCTTTCTGCTTCTTTCCAATTGACCAAGGTTGTTGGTGTCAACAGTGAGTGTGCTGAGCTGTCCTGACTATCTCATATTAGGATGTCTGCGCATATTTCTATGGTTCTACTTTAATTATAGCTTCATTTTCTTCCAAGGAGAGTGACCTTCTCATATCAATAACAGTTGATCTTTGAAGAGAATTACTGAACTCTTTGGGGCCGTTACAAGTCATTTTTGTACTGTTAAAAGAGATGTCTCAATATTAGTGATACTGTATACTGTATGTTAGCCTCATACTTAAACAGATTATTCATCAGTAGTGTCTGGTAAACCTATTTTGGTATATTTGCAAATGAATGCTGTGTTAGTGTACAATTGTCTCCACTACACATTCGTGTCACTTGCATATGTTGTCATTGGAATTAAACCGACACATGGTTCATGCTCATTCTCAACCACATATTCATGAAGATAGTAATATCCCCAAAAAGAAAGGCGAATTTGGGCTGATATTACTACTACTAATTATAATAATTGTGTAATTTGTTGTACTGTCTTTCACGTTGGGAGAACATCACAGCGCTTCACAGCACTTTCTGTTTAGTATAGTGATTGTGTCTTCTGTAGGCAAATTTTATAAACTTATACAAAGTTACTTTTATAATTATTCAGTATCCTCTAATGATGCTGCAGCATACACTTTAACAGGTGGAAAAAGTCAGCTGGGTTAATATAGGATCAATTGCAGTTGAAGAATCCTGTAGGGAACACTGTTATAGGTTTAGCGATGCCAGTAATGAATAATTTTACATAAGCTGATAGACATGAGACAGCTGTGTTTCACAGTTAACATATTTGTCATTCCTCTCTTAAATAATAACAACAATAGTCCTTTCATTTATTATACTGCAGTATCTTATTATGTTGTTGAGACTTCTCAAATCACCTCACAGAATTTTACTATAATGTATAGGAACTGTGTATTTGTGGGCGAACACAGCCTGTTAAAATAGCAGATGGGATCCTTGGCTTTATAAATAGAGGCATAGAGTACAAAAGCAAAGACATTATGCTAAACCTTTATAAATCACTGGTTAGGCCTTCGCGAGGGTGCAAAAGAGAGTTACCAGAATTATACCAAGGATGAGGGACTTCAGTTATGTGGAGAGACTAGAGTTGCTGGGATGGTTTTCCTCAGAGCAGAGAAGGTTGAGGGGAGATTTAATAGGTGTTCAAAATTATGAAAGGTTTTGATAGAGTGAATAACAGAAGGTGGAAGCATATTCAATAATAACTTTCAAAAGGGAATTGGATAAATATTTGAAAAGAAAAAAATTGCAAAGCTATGGGGAACGAATGCGTGAGTGGGACTAATTGAATAGTTCTTTCCAAGAGCCGGCATAGGCACGGTGGGTCTAATGGTCCTCTTCTGTTCTGTAGGAATCTGATTCTAATTTGTGCTTGTAATGTCCCGTAAACAGCTATGAAGCGAATCACCAATTTAGATACATATATGCATGTATTTGCCTTTTGAAAGCTACCTTGATTATCACACCTGGCAGGGTATTCAAAAAATCTTTAATGTCGTCCACCTGAACAGGCAGATGGGACCTCGGTTTAATGATTAATTCAAAGAATGGGAGAAAATACATACCTCATATCTTCCAATGGTGCTTACAATATTTATTGGCCTCACTGACAGCAATTCAAGGGTTTTGAACTGCACTTCAGGTAGATCTTGAAAAATAACACCAGGCAGAACAGCTCTCTTTATATATGACATGAGAAGAAAGATGTTGAGAAACGTAAACAGGAACAGAAATTAAACATTACCGCCAGCATCGTGTGGATTTAGAATAATCTCAAATAGTTTATGACTGACTTTACCATAGGATCCCCAACTGTTGTACTAATAGACTGAGCTCCTGTTAACATCAATTGTGAAACTGCAGTGTGCTTGCAGCGTTCCCCTGCTCTATGAACAGGGGTCATTAACTGAAATAATCAGAAAATTAAGCCAAATTATTTTCAATACACGGTCGAGTTACATTTGGGGAGAGGTGTTTGCAATGAGCGCACATAACATTCTGTATAGGCACAGAAGAGGGGAGGAAATAAGATTTCATTGATTTTTGTAGCATTGCTATTCATCGTATAGTAGAAAAGGATTATTTTTTACTGCTGTTGCCGACGTATTTGATGATTTGTTTTCCTTGGCCAGAGCAACTTCTATAGACCTTGAAAAAGTGGGTTAGCTCTCGATTCAGCCCTACTGTGGGAAAGTATGTTGGTTTGCAGCAGGATGCATAGATTTGTACTTTTATTATAAGGCTTGTTATTCACTGTAAAGTGTATATACACAGTAGGTGTATGCTGTTAACAGGGTATTCTCTCATTTTTGTCTTTGCCAGGAAAATCCATTGGTCTCATAATGGATGACCATAGCAGCTCCTTGGATAGCTCCCAGTCTGTCCGAACCAGGCAAAATGTGATTAAGTGTGGGTGGCTGAGAAAGCAAGGAGGTTTTGTCAAGACTTGGCACACACGTTGGTTTGTACTCAAGGGCGACCAGCTTCACTACTACAAAGACGAAGATGAAAATCGACCACTGGTAAGTAGGCCAAAGTGAAAATCTTATATGTAATATTGGACAGGTTCCAAAGACCACATATGATTTCAATGCAGTTCTCATAGTGGTACACAAACTGTTTAGTGACTCACTTCTTATCACTATATGGAGTAAAGACTAATATACCACGGTAAGATTGGTGTGATATTATACGTAGCCATTTTGTTGATGCTTTGGGTATTTAATTGATAATATATTTGAATAGTTCTGCTACGTTGCTTTTAATTGGAATTGCAAAATTATTTTGACATAATAGTGATATGAACTCATTTATATTGTTATTTTTTAACTGCATACAACTACAACAACAACCTGCATTTATATAGCACCCTTCACATGGGGCAGAGTCTTGGAATGCTTAACAGTGGCATACATTGATCGTTTCATAGTGTTGAAGAAAAATGTTGCGCTTACAATAAGTGTGCTTTATGCAGCATATTGTTACAATCTGGAATGCACGGCCTGAAGCAGGGTGGAAGCATAATTCAATAATAACTTTCAAAGGGAAATTGGATATATACTTGGATATATACTAAGCTACAGGACTCCACAAGAAGTGAAATTCTCTGCTTGGGACATAGAAAAATGTGGATCTGTCTACAATTATGTGGAAATAAATGGACCAAAGTAAACCCATTTAAACATTTGAACTGTAAAACAAATTATTTTCTTAAAATTGTCTGACATTTAAATTGCTGGACATTTCTACCAGTGGGTGCCAATGGCAACCATCTGGGAGCAAGTCACTTTCTGACCCTCTCAATCATAGTGATGATGTGTAAGAAAGAGAATTCCAAGCGCAGAAATCAATTGAAAAGAGTCCTTAATGGCCCAAATATTGGTACGGTAAAATCTGAAGGATCAAGTTGTGAGAGTGATAAGCAGATGGTAAATTGATAAAGGAAGCAAACAAAATAAAACAGGAGCATTAACCCATGCAGTGCTGAATGTTTGGTTTAAAAAAAAGTTTAGAGGATATAATTACAGTACAACACTCTCCCTTAAGTCCACAGAATACAACAGTTTTGACTGTGCTTTCAGTCACATTTACCATCCCACACGCCCCCTCAGCTCCCACCCTTAGCCCAGTTGCCCTGCCGGCATTTGTAAGGGGTTTGAGATGTCTTTCCAGTGTGAAAAAGGTTATGTAAGTGTAATTTGTATTGTACTAAATTAGCAGGGGTATGTGCGAGACACTTATGAAAAGCTGGTGTGACATTAACTTCCTTTTAATCCCTAGTTTGAGGATTTTGAGCATGCTCCTTGCAATCATTTGATAGAATTTAAATGTTTTCATTGTTGGAATTTCATTGTTCTCTTTAATTGCTTGAGGAGAAACTTTTGAGCCTGAGGGAGATTTTCCCCACTGCTGTAAAATGGAGCAGTGGGGAAAATATTTGAGCAGATTTTCAGTGCTCCCAGTCATTTCTCATTTACCTCCACTGAATCCTGACCCAGGACTCTACGATACAAATCAATTTCACATCAGGTAGAGGCGGTCAAGTCAAATAAACCATAGAAAACAAAAACAGAAGTCGCTGAGAACACTCAGCAGGTCAGGCAGCATCTATGGAGAAAGGAAAGTGAGTCAATGTTTCGAATCCACGACCCTTTGTCAGAACTGGAGCATGTTGGGAGGGAGAGGCTTTTAAGGGTTAACAGAGAGCGGGGAGGCAGGGCAAGGAAGACAAAGAAGAAAATGGGGTAGAGGACAGGGGATGACGGGTTAAAGAGGTGTTAATGATGCAAAACAAAGGGAGGGATTGCAACAAAACAGGGGGAAAGAGGTGCAAGAGGTCCCAACGTGCCTCAGTTCTGACGAATGGTCATAGACCCGAAACGTTGACTCACTTTGCTTTCTGACCTGCTGAGTGTTCCCAGCGATCTTTGTTTTTGTTTCAGGTTTTCAGTATTTTGCATTTTGCAAATAATCCATAGAATGATTCTGTCCAAGAGATGTGGCTGCTTTATAGGTGAGGTGTCAATGGCTCACCCCCTTCCATTTCTCTTTATTTTATACATTAGAGAAAAAAATGTATGTAGTACGTTTGTATATTCTGAGAGTGTCAGACGACTACAAACTAGAGGTTCCTCCTCTGATTGCATAGTTGCTGACGTTGAATTTTTCTGGCCTCAAGCCAGCGGGCTATACGGTTAACAGTTTATTTTTGTAACTTGTTACCAAAGGCCTTATTTGCTGTGTATTATGTCGTGGATTAGTTTGCAAGCAGGAGCCGGGTTAAGGAGGTGGAGAGAGAGAGAGAGAGAGGAGGAAGAGAGGCGAAGGTGGGAGCTGGGTTGGGACACCTGTGGGAAGTGGCAGTTGAAAGCAGGGAAGGTTTGGAGATGAAGCAGGAGAGTAAGCAGGAGGTAGGAGCTATGCTAGGGAGGTGAGTGGGAGATGGGCACTGAATAAGGAGTTCAGCCTGAGCTGAATCAGGGAGAGGAGCATAGATAGTTGGGAAGAGAGAATCAAAGTTGCACCATACAAAAAAAAAATTTAATTTTAAAAGGTCTTATCAAATTGAAACGTCTCAAAGCTCTTTACAATAACTACAATCAAGTGTAGTGTAACTACAGTCAAGTGTAGTAGTTGTAAATCATGCAGGGATTGGTGTATTATATAGTAAACATTGATTGCATCTTTCTTTAAATGATGTTTGGGTATTCACGTAGGTTGGGAAAAAGATAAAAAGTCTTTTACTTCTCTGCAAAGCGTCCACTTTGAATGTGGCTGTGAGCTGAACACTCTGCTGCTGCTTTAATGAGCCACTGCATTTACTTGAACACACAATGGCCACTGGTTAATTCACTTCAAAATGATTCAAATAGTCGAAGAATAATGAGAATCTTTATCTAAGATTATTTACTTCTTATGACAGGTGAAATCAATAAGGAATGCAAGATGACAGAAATTGTGCAAGGAGCAAGAGGTGTGATGGAAATAAAGACCTTCCCCAACTCTATACTTTCATTTGTTCTTAAGTATTAAGAAGTGCAGTCTTGTAGCTTAGTGGTTAGAACATTTGCCTAGCAAGCGAGAGGACCCGGGTTTGATTCCCGGGCAGGCCGAAAGATTGGGCAAGTTTCCTCACTCCATACGACTCTGTTTACCATCTGCTTATCACTCTCACAACTTGATCCTTCAGCAATAAATAGGAACCTGGTAGTTAGTCAATTGGTGGATCACTTTTCTGGGGATAATAATCCCTTTAAAAATAAATCAATAAATAATAATAAAAGAAAATAATAATTTGGTCACTCAATCTATGCCTGTTTGTGGGACACTGCTGCCTACAGTTGGCTGCCACGTTTCACCCACAAAATATACAGTCAATTCACTTTACAGTATATTCGGTGAAGTGCTTTGAGACGTCTCGAAGATGTGACAAGGCGCTATATCAAATGTAAGGATTATTATTACTTAGATTTGCAGTAAAAGGGAAACTGCAGCTTTAACATGGAGTTGGACTGATGTTATTTACAATGACAAGAACAACAACAACAGCATGCTTTTACATAGTGCCCTTCATGCGGAGTAATGTCTCAGGGAGCTGGGCACAGATTTTGTGTAGAATTTCCTTAGCACTCTGCAAAACAGAAACCGGGTGAATATAAGAATTATTTCAAAAAGGGATTGCTAGTGAGGCACACTGCCTGAATAATCTTGCATTCTAAATGCTGGCTTTTGAATACATTTGAAAGTCCAGTCCTCATTACAGATTCGAAATGCTGGCACAGCGGATAATGCTTCAGTGTAATGTAGCACGAGATCCACATATTTGTGTGACTGAGTAGTAGTCAGTATTAGACTGGATTCATGCAGCTCATTATAAGATGGATCTCTGGAATACCTCTGCGCTGTCTTGCTGGGAGGACAGAGAATCAGGATGTGGTGCTTTATGGAAGATCTTAATAATGCTTTATATGGGGATAGGGCAGATAAATAGAATTAGGTTAGAAGCCATAATCTTATTAAATTTCGGGGAAGGCTCGAGGGGCCAAATGGCATACTCCTGCTCCTACATCTTATGGTCTTATCTCTTACAACTTGTACTGTAACTGATCAATAAATTCAGAGAAGCGGAGTGAGTCCACAGCAGCTTTTACAATTGGCAGCGTTTGATAAACATTTGAAATCTTTACTTGAATCTTTAAAAGCACCACAAGCGTACAAATCTATTTTTGATCTAACTATTTTGGGGTCGACTGGGTGTATGACACCCATCAGCATGATTAAGAGTCTTCAAACCAGACTGAGTGCTCCACAAATGCGTGCCATTTACACATAGAAACTTCCTTGTTTTTAGAATGAAATGCTTACTCTCTCCCTAGAGGAGTTCCCTGCTTACTTAATTACGGAGAGCATTAAGCACACGTTGCAAGAGCCAAGGCTTGCAGACCCAAAATGTGCATGGGTACTGCTGGAGTTTAACAGGAGTTTAAAACCGCATAGCTTACCACTGAAAGCACTGTCTGCAAAGCTTCCTGTTGCTTGTCCACCTAGAAAACTCTAACTGTTGGGGCTTTGGCTTGCGAGGGTAACAGGAACTGAGCAGGTAAAAAAATCCCTGCTCCTAGTAACTTGAATATGTTTACAAATAGCAGTTTCTGTTTGGTGGAACATACGTTTTCAACGACATGATCTTAAGAACTATTGTCGTATATCAATGTAAAAAAGAGCCACTGCCCACAATAAAGTCACACATTACGTAGTTCTTGGCTGTGGACTTTTATGGTGAGCGAAAAGTACCAAAACATCCACACATGGCTTGGGACCGTAGTGTCTGTATTTGCCAAATGGGAGTGAGGTCTGAATGGGATGACTCTGAAAATGTCAGCCTGTAAATCGACTCAATGTGAGTACACACTGATAGTTGCCATAAGGATAATTTTTAGAGCGATCACCCATGTCAATTTGAGTAAGAAAACACAATGTCACGTGACATTTTGTTATTACACCTTCAATATCTCACTCGGGG